TCACTGGTAGGGATTTAGACCCCGCTCAAACTGTGCATTTTGCACGTGTTCCTTAGAGGTGTAAATTCCCACACGTGACGGTAAACAGCACGGGTCCATGGAGGTTTTCTGTGGCTTGGACGATTCAAGAATGTAAACAAAACTCAATGGGTAAACATTTAGCAGTTCCAGCAGAGTTTATGCGCAGTACCTTGTTTCAGGTATTGGTGTCTCTGTTCAAATAGGGCATATCAAGATGTTATTAAAACTTCTCATTGGAAACCCACTCTGATGGAAAGTGAGCATCAAGTAATTAGCTTTCCAGTTAGGTAATGTTGCATGTAAGGTTACTTGAAAGCATTGGTAAGCAAAACTATAAATACCATTGATTTCTTGTACCAGCTGCTGTGACTGTTTAACTTTGAAATAGAATCATAGAGTCATAGAATGGTTTGGGTTGGAAGGGACCTCAAAGATCATCTAGTTCCAACCCCCCTGCCATGGGCAGGGACACCCTCCACTAGACCACACTGCCCCAAGCCTCATTCAACCTGGCCTTGAACACTTCCAGGGAGGGGGCATCCACAACCTCCCTGGGCAACCTGTTCCAGTGCCTCACCACCCTCACAGGGAAGAATTTCTTCCTAGCATCTAATCTAAATTGACCCTCCTTCAGCTTAAACCCATTACCCCTTGTCCTGTCGCTACACTCCCTGATAAACAGTCCCTCACCACCTTTCCTGTAGGCCCCCCTTCAGATACTGGTAAGCCACAATTAGATCTCCCTGGAGCCTTAGAAATACTTCCTAAGATCTTTGAAATTCTGTCTAAAATTGTGTCCCTGAATTGTCAGCAAATCAAATTCTTCTGTGATAGCTTGTAATTATTTTTTACTTTGTTTATTTTGAATTTTTTTCCTGTGACAATATGAATTTCTCCTGTTTATGCTGTAGTTTTTCATGAAATTATTTTCCCTGGAAAAAAGTCTGTTGTCAATAGGTATTTTCTGATTTTTCTTTCCAGTCTTGTTGGATTACCTCTCACCAAAACCTTAGGCCCAAGTGGAAATTTCATGCATCATATTAAAAACCATATACATATCATATGCATATCAGTATTGCTGCTCTTGTCTCAAGTGCTTAACTTCGTTTGTGTATATCTTTGCAATCTTTAGAAATATTTCCCTCTCCTTCCCTTTTTCTAGAAGTACTCCTTCCAAGTGTTGACAAGACAAAACCAAAGCTTTATAGTGCTTTGTATTTGCCATGGATTTTTGTACATACATCTGGTGCTGACAGTTTTCCTTGTCTTATTTCTTGTCTGCTGTCCTTGGCAGTGGCAAGACTGTGTGAAGGCCCATTGCCTTTTTTTTTTTTTTTTTTTGTTAACTACAGTAAAGAAGCTTGCAGTATACCAGGGCCTTTGGTCTTGTGCTATCTGAAATATGTTTGCCAAGGTAAAAATGCAGTCTTAAAACTGAGCAAATAATGGCTTATCTGAGCCTGCCCTGTTCATCTAGAAATGCTTCAAAGTCTTCCCATTTAAATAGCTAAAAAATTCCACAGTGTATCCCCTTTTTATTTCTTTTAGCGTGGATTAGCAGTAGAGATGATTTCTGAAGAAAGCTTGTTAAAGGGAGCAGGTATTGCTGTCATTCCAGTGAATGCTGTTTCTGAAACCTTATCCTACGCTTATGCAGGAGTGTGTTAGGTGGTATTTGTTACTCATCCTTGAAGCTCTGTGAGAAAGTGAAGAGCTGAATAACCTTTTGTTGGATCTCTGAGGTCTGTTCCCAAATGTACATTCAAGGAATATGATTATTCTTCCTCCCTCCCTCTCCACTCAAAACAACCAAACTGCTGGAAGTGTGTGTTGTTTTGGGTGGTTTATTTTTTAAATAAAACCAACTGAAGGTGATGGGCCTGTTGTTTTTAGTGCCCCTCTGGAGGCAGATTACAACACCTTTTTATTTATGTATGGAAGAGTGCTTTCTGAAAGTGAGACCTGGTCTTTAAATGGCAGTGTTTGAGCACCCCGGATGAATTGTAATGCCAGAAAAACAGAATTTGAGAACCCTTCTTTTCTGTCAATTTTTATGCTGCTTGCTGTTATCACCAAGTGGGGGGGTGCTTTTATTAACTGTGATTTTTGCTTTTGTTTTTGCCAGGCTCCATGAGGCCCGCTCAGGAGATATTTGCAATGCCTGTGTCCTTTTGGTGAAAAGATGGAAAAAATTGCCAGCAGGATCCAAAAAAAACTGGAATCACGTTAGTCATTTATTTCTCCTCCACCTCAAAACTAACTCATCTCTGCCTTAGTCCGTCCTGCTAGAGAGGGGAGGTGCTGACAAGGATTTGGAGGTTGCTGTTTTCCTGACACTCTCCCTTTCCACGCTCAGCGTCTCTAAATCCTTCCTGGAATATTTCCTGTTACATGGTTCTTTATCTGCTTTTTGGCTTACGTGCAAATGGTGATCGTGCATGCCTGGGATGGAGTCACAGACTAACTTACCTTCTAATTCCTTGGTTTTGCAAGCTCATAACTTTGTCCAAAAGTCTCTTACGACTCTCAAGACATTTCAGATTTGGCCTCTATCCAAAATTGGTCGCTGCTTTTTTTTTTAGGGCTTTTTTTTTAGTAGTTTGAACAAGCAAGGTGGCTTGCTCAAGCAACACATAAATCAATGTCACTTAGTCAGATAATTACAATGACTAATATCTCGCAGCTATTCCCACTTATATATTCTGTTTTGATACATCTAACTCAGTTTGGGCCTAGGGCTGGGAAGATGATAAGGATTCTTTGTGTATGTTATAATCTTTATTCAGGAAGCCTTGATGGTAATAGGAGCCAGAACTATGGTTATTACTACCACTAACTTAACAGAAGTTAAATTGATGATTTAAAAAAACCAAAAGCAAACCAAAAAACTCCAGGGCAAATGCTTGGCAGGCACTCTTAACTGAACCTGTATTGGCTTAAACAGCTGTTGTCTACTAAACTGAATTTGTCAAAAATAGGAACACGACAAAAGTTGAACTGAATGTGCCTTTTAAACTAGTGTACTGCATTTTCCTACAGACTCAGCCTCTTACAAACCAAATTTAAATGAAACATGAGAGGGCACAGAACTGCCTCGGTTTAACTAAATTGGTTTTGAACACCTTCAGCTAAGTCAGTACAGGTGCCGTTACTAGGGCAGGATCTGGGCATGATGCAGAAGTATTATGCATGCATTTTCTGTGTTCTAGGTGGTAGATGCCAGGGCTGGACCCAGTCTTAAAACAACATTGAAACCAAAGAAAATGAAAACTCTGTCTGGAAGCAGAATAAAGAGCAATCAAATCAGCAAACTGCAAAAGGAATTCAAGCGGCACAGTAAGTGGATCCAAAGAGATTTTTGGCAATAAACTTTGGCCTCCCCTAACGTAGCTTACTGTTAACTGGCCAAGCTTGAATCACCATCTAGATTCAATTATACACTTACACATTTAGGAGCTCCTGTTTTCACAACCTCTCATCCTCCAAGGGCTCGGGGAGGGAGTGGAATGAGGAGGAAGAGCTTGTGTGCAGGGTGGGCTGTGATACGGAGGGGGGAAGTGGCGAGGGGGAGTGGGGAAGCCTGGCTGGAAAGTGTAGGCAATGGTAACTATGTCCCACGCTTAAATGACATGTCTGTAGAAAGAACTTCTTGGACAAGACCCTCACTGAAACTCAAGTTTGAAGAGGTTTCCCACTGCTCACTCGGTAGTGCACTATAGCCTTTTTCAGCTCTCTTTCCCCAAGAAGCACTGTTCTGTTCTGTTGATACCGCTATCAGTCTTTTTCTTCCATAGGTGTTTTCAACCTAGGCTTTCTATTTAGCCTAGATTTCACCCCCCCTTTTAAATTCCTACCATGTTTCCTCTGTATAGTTTCCTTACACCTTCCTCTGCTGGTCTCAATGATTTCTTTCCGCTAGCACTCAGACTCTTGAAATAGATTTGCATTCATAGCTTTCCAACAAAGCCATCTGCCAGTTAGGCTCTAAATATATGTCAGTACTTGAGGGTTTTTTTCTCTAAAGCAAACCTTCCAGTTTCTTAACTGTTGCTGACTTGGTCTTCTCTCCCTTTCAATTATCCTATCCAGCCTAAAGGAAAAGCTCTCCAAAGAATCAGTAAAGGCCTGACCCAAAGAGCTTGCTAATTGTCTAATTGCGTTACTGTGGGTGCTAGAGATGGTAACTAAAAGGTAGGCTAGTAGATACTTTGTTGAGGTATGCTTCTGCACTGAGTCCGTAGTTCATAGTCTCAATCCAGCAAGAACTCAATATACTCAAAATAGTATTTGTAAGACTTTAACCAAATGGGTAAGAAAGTAGATTTATAGTGAAAGTACTAGGTCTGAAGCACAGAATCCCCATAGTCTTCAAGGATCTTCCAGTGATTCCACAACAGGACTAGGGTCTTGTCCAAAGCATGGCCTGCATAGGTAGGCTATGTTGGAGAGCCAGGAACTGAAGCCTGATCCTGAACCTCTTTCCAGTCCCTCGTGTTCAAGGAGCCCCTCCAGTTCTGAGGCCTCTCCCCCAAATGCTGACAGATAGTCTCTCTGTTGAAATCGGCAGGGGCAAGTGAAAAATGGCATGTCATTGTTAGGTTTTTCGTGTTAATTAAAAAAAAGTCTGCATCTGTTCCAGATCTGCATGGGATCTTTTACAAGTCAGGAAGAGGACGAGTCATTGGATGCATGTCCTGATTTTTACGTTTATTCCTTCCCCTACAGATTCTGATGCCCACAGCACCACTTCGAGTGCCTCCCCAGCTCAGTCGCCCTGTTACAGCAACCAGTCTGACGATGGCTCTGACACAGAGATGAGCGCTGGGTCCAGCAGAACACCAGTTTTCTCCTTTTTAGATCTCACGTACTGGAAAAGGTAAAAAACAACTGAAGGTGCGCTCTCTGCAGATAGCGATTCACTTCATGTACACAGTGCTTGATTCTGCTTCTTCAGAAATTTACTGCTGCTGAACTTAATTTGTTTTAAGGATATAATTTAGGTCACAGAGTATTATATGATATCTGTCTGTCTGTGGAAAGAAATGCCATGTGTTTCAGACATTTTCCCCTATCTCCCTCCAGTTCCCTAAATGCTAATACAGTTGCTGGACAATATTTTTTACATTTGTGGGAGTAACAGATAATATTCCTGACTGTCATTATCTTGTCTTAAAACTCTGCTCTGTAGACATGACATGTTAACAAGTACAACAGTGCTCTCAGCTTGCCAGCAAGACATAGTATTTGATTTGGTTGACCTGTGATGTTAGTCATTTAAAAAAAAAAATAATTAAAAAAATCTGGAATGGGAGGAAAACCACAAGACTTCCTGGGACCTGACGGGCTTGTTATCTTTTATTGCATGTTGTGACACAGTAATCCCTTGTTTAGCTAATTGCTCTATTGAAATTGTTGTGACTTTGCTGCCTCATCTCAAATTGTGTTTGCAAGTGCATTGTAGTCAAGGTTAGTTCAGCCCAGATAGTTGTGTGTCTGAAACTTATCTGGGAAGCAAAACAGGAGACTTAGTTTTGTATAGACATGGGGTTAGGTTGGGGTTTTTTCTTCTTTTTTTCCCCAAAGCGGTGGTGTGGCTTTAGACACAGACTTATTTTCTCTTTCTGCACAGCTTTTTCCCTCCTGTCCTCTGAGCCAGAGGCTCAGAAAAGTAGTGTCTTGGGTCAAACTGATTCTTGCATTTCTGTAAATTCTGTATGTTCTAAACACACAACCTACCTATCTATCTCCCTGCTATTTCTTCCAGGCAAAAGGTGTGCTGTGGGATTATTTACAAAGGGCGTTTTGGGGAAGTCCTCATAGACACTCATCTCTTCAAACCTTGCTGTAGCAATAAAAAGTCTGCCACTGAGAAGCCAGAACAAGAAGGACCACAATCTCCAGCAATCTCCACCCAAGAGGAGTGGTGACTTCCTTGGATAGCTGCAGAAGGTTATACAGATCCTCTTATTCTCTGGAAAAATACTAGAAAAGTGATTGTTCACTTTGGACACCTGCTATGCTGCCAAAAGACTATTCCCTAGAACTGTTTTGGGTTTTACTGCTACAATTCCACAAACTCTGAAGCCAGTTTGTATCCTTTCAGAAAGACTGTACATAATATTTAAGATGCTATGGAACACTTAGCAAAGCTGAATGCTGCTGCAAGGTTGTCCCTCTAATCTTCCCCTCCCTCTTCCCTCCCCACTCGCTTCACAAATGAACTTGAGGATGGGGTTTTGTATATTAAAGTATATGTAGTTCATCTTTCTGTATTGAAAGAAGCAGTGGTGTAAGGCATTTTTTAAAGTTGGTTGGTAACCTCCCTTAAATCCCCAAGAAAAGATTTCATTCTTAGACACGTATGAGTCAATAAGATGAACTAATACATAGAAATGTTATAAGTCACCTCTCTAGTTATATAAATATATATTTTTTAAAGGTGTGGAGATTTCACCCTATACTACTGACGTAACAAAGACAACTAATTCATCCCTCCTATGTGACACAGACTGGTAAACTGCAGACATCTCTACTACAAGTGGTAGTTATCCAAGAAGGCCCCTAACATAAAATGCTCTTAAGAAGAGGTGGGAGAGCTCTCCTCCTTAGCTAAGGAGGAAGATTTACCTAAGAATTGAACATAGCGAAATGGGAGGCTACTTTGTTTGAACCCAGCAGCAGACACCCTGGGCTTCATGTAGTAACTGGTGATTAGAGGTGGACCAAGAAAATATCTTGATGCCCAAGTGTAGATGATGGCCAAAACTGAGTAACTGCTATCTGTTGGCCCAGCGCAGCTGAAGTGTAACCACAGACCAGACTTCTGGTGGTTTGGGACCTGACATAGAACCAAACCCCTTGCTAAGCAAATCAGGCTCTGATCCAGGGACAGGATCTGATTGTAGCCTGGGGTCCAGATTCACGGTCACTGTTATGGAACCTTTCCCCTGCAGTGCCTCTCTGTGTTTGGGGGTTGGTTGGTTGGTTTGTTTAACCAACCAGCAGATAGATGCTTTTGTGAGTACTGGACTTGCTGCAAATTATGAAAAGTTCTGTTAAGAATGGTGCTGTACTGAATCAAGGCAGCTCTGTTTGCATACGCGATCAAAAGATGGTATTTCTTACATGGATTCCCATACAAACTTGTGTGCAAACCATTGTGACACTCCTTCAAACTCCACTTTGCCTGAAGGATGGAAGCAGCTTCCTGGAAGAGTGTGCTGCAGTTTTAGCTCCCAGTTGCTTCATGTTCCTTTTATGAAGGTTTAACTTGTCTAAGTTGGGAATTCTGCTTTTTTTGTTTGTTTGTTTCTGTTTTCAGGGGGAGGGAGGATTTTTCTTACTATTACTCTTCTGGGATATTTTACAATGGATTGTGACAAGCTTTCCTTTTTGTGAGTCATCTGCATAATACTGTGGTGGGTAGGGCTTAGGACTGGATTTCCATGTAATCTCACTTTCTGAAATGGGGAATGGTTAGCGAGTGAAAATATTAGGTGGGGAAAGATACACAGGTTCTAAGAGGAGCCTCTACCCTCAAAGCTTGCTTTTTTTTTTTTTTTCTTCCTCTCCTTGTGTTGGGTAAGCCAACCTCTGGAGAGAAACAACGTCAGGGGAAACAGGGCTTTGACTTATCACAGCCTTACAGCTTAGAGCTTTCATCGGTCTTATTTTGCTTTTCCTAAACGCTCTTGAGATTCTGAAGGGAGGACAAAGCTGCCTACCTTGCTTTCATCTGCAACCAAATAGAATCATTTAGGTTGGAAAAGACCTTTAAGATCATTGAATCCAACCGTAGATATAATGGATACTTGCTTGTATAACGGCTTAACTAGGTTGGTCGTGTCTATTAAGGGCTTGAGCAAGAGTCCTAGCTGTTTTTGCAGACACCTGCTTTTTTTCGAATTTGTGTTTTCAGCATCAGTAATTCTGTACACCTAAGGCTGCAGTATTGGTGGTAGGATGTGCTCTGATACGGATCATCTCTTCTGTATTTATTTATTTATTGCTAGATTTCAACCGCCAACTGCTTCCCCTCTCCCTCCCACCTCTTCCATTCCTGGTAGTAATGCAAAATGAACTGTATGTAGTCATGCACTTTGTATTAATGTATTAGAATCTATGGAACCTGTTTTGTACTTTTATACTGTTCAGACACTTGTAATCCAAACTTTTTTTTTTTACTAGGGTAATGAATAAATTTAGACTTAATTAGAAAATAAACAATTTCTCCTCTGTTTATTTCAACTTTGTCCTGTTAATTAGACTTAGTGTTTGAACCAGCCCAGGCAATACATGTTTCTGTTTGAACAAGACTTGAAGACTTTTTTTCTTTTGGGGGGGGGGGTGAGGGAGCGGGAGTTGCAGGGGATGTGAGATAATTCTTGTCCTATTTAATTTGGAAAGAAGAGCAGAACGAGGGCAGGAGATGGTGTTTATTATGATAGACAGTTGTCTTGGGGCAGAATCACAGCTCTGATGCTCTGCACTGCGTGTGTGTCAGGCATTCCTTTACTGGGAATGGGTGGTGCTGAAATTCTGTGTTCCTGGGGGGCTTGCTCTCTGTCTAGCTCACCAGCATTCAGCCGGAGGCCAGCTGAAGCAACAGTGTCAGTGGGTTGGTGCTGACAGCATGTGGAAATGTCCTTTTCCAGATCCAGCTGAGTCCGTGGAAGAGGGTAGTGCTCCTCTACTGAAGCTGGAGCCTGGAGTGGTTCTTCCCACGACAGGCGTAGTCAGCTGGATGAGCTCCAGCAGACTGGTGGGAGTGAGGTCTCTGGCAGGAGATGGCAGTGAGTAACTGAGTTTGGAAGAAAATGAGGCTTTTCCCTCACAATGGGGTAAACATCACAACCTTAAGGATGATACTTTGTTGCAAGAGACTATCTTGGACTTTAGTGGTTGCTGATGTGCTTGGCTATTTTCATAGACATTGAGCACAATGATATCCAGAGATTTGCGTAGAGCTTGTTGCAGTGAAAGCTCTGTGTAGACCACGTGATTTTAGTACAATAGCATCTATTTTGGACATACATTATCTGCTGTAGATGGCCAAGCGTACCTTGGGCATGATTTGGTTCACCTAAAAATGTAAAGCTCTGCGTAACGCCACTGAAGAGATGTAGGTGCGGCAAAAGGTGGTTAAAAGCAGGAAACCTAATGTGTACCCCACTCGTTGCAACTTCCACCCTTTTTCAAATCATTCCTTTTCCTTCTCTCTTTTACCCTGCTGCTGCACACCTGCGAGAGAGGTTATCGCTACAGGAGACCGCGGCATCTGCTTTGCCCTGGCCTCATGCCCAGCAGAAGATTGACTGGAAAGGGACAGACTGCCCAGGTGTCTTAAGCCTTCAGTTCTGGGCACAGGAAAGGACCATCCATGATCCTGCTCAGCCCTTGCCCTCACCCTTGGCTGGAGGCTTCTCTTCACCAGACGTGCTGTTTCCAGTGGTCTCAGCCTCAGGGAGAACCTGGCCCTGCGTCTCTGCTAACGCCAAACAGTACTGGGAGAACTGGAAACAGACTGGCAAATGCGCTTTGTCGTGGGTGAGACTTTTTAGAAAATGTGGGAATTGGGCACTTTGGGGGCTGCAAGGAGGTGTGGTGCACCTGGACAATGTGTTATTGCTGACCTCTACAAGATAGCCTGATGATACCGGTGAAAATACATCTATGAGGAGGTTGAAAAGCCTCAGTACCCAAGGGCACTGCAGACGGCATGGGTACAAGCACACGCTGCTGAACAGCAGACCTGTCAGGAGAAAGCAGCTCACACTTGCTGGTGCAGTCCTGTCCTTTCTGTGCCACAAACCCCCCCCCCCCCCCCCCCCCTGCCGCTAACTTTCCCGCCGCCGTAGATTTTGCTGAGACCGTACAGCCCCGTGTCTGGCATCCGCCTCGCCCCGGCCTTGCTACACCAAGTACGTGACTGGTGGGAGCTCTTACAAACCCGGGTAAGTCGGAGTTGTGCCCCAGCTGGCCGGACTGCTGGGGGGTAAAGCGACACCTCTGCTA